CATCCTGACTGATGGCAGCCCATTCTTGCATAATCAATGCTTGGATTTTGTCAGAATTCATGGCTTTTGTTTGTTCACCTGCCTCTTGAGGATTGACCACAAGTTCTCAATGGGATTAAGGTTTGGGGAATTTCCTGGGCACGGACCCAAAATCTCGATGTTGTGGTCCCCAAGCCACTTAGTTATCACTTCTGCCTTATGGCAAGGTGCTCCATCATGCTGGAAAAGGCATTGTTCGTCACCAAACTGTTCTTGGATGGTTGGGAGAAGGTGCTCTTGGAGGATGAAAAGGCATTGTTCGTCACCAAACTGTTCTTGGATGGTTGGGAGAAGGTGCTCTTGGAGGATGAAAAGGCATTGTTCGTCACCAAACTGTTCTTGGATGGTTGGGAGAAGGTGCTCTTGGAGGATGTTTTCGTACCATTCTTTATTTATGGCTGAGTTCCTAGGCAAAATTGTGACTGAGCCCACTCCCTTGGCTGAGAAGCAACCCCACACATGAATGGTTTCAGGATGCTTTACTGTTGCCGTGACACAGGACCGATGGTAGCGCTCACCTTTTCTTCTACGGACAAGGTTTGTTCCGGATACTCCAAACAATCGGAAAGGGGATTCATCAGAGAAAATGATTTTACCCCAGTCCTCAGCAGTCCAATCCCTGTACCTTTTGCAGAATGTCAGTCTGTCCCAGAAAATGATTTTACCCCAGTCCTCAGCAGTCCAATCCCTGTACCTTTTGCAGAATGTCAGTCTGTCCCTGATGTTTTTCCTGGAGAGAAGTGGCTTTTTTGCTGCCCTTCTTGATAACAGGCCATCCTCCAAAAGTCTTCGCCTCACTGTGCGTGCAGATGCACTCACACCTGCCTGCTGCCATTCCTGAGCAAGCTCTGCACTAGTGGTGCCCTGATTCCGCAGCTGAATCACCTTTAGGAGACAGTCCTGGCACTTACTGGACTTTCTTGGGTGCCCTGAAACCTTCTTCACAACAATTGACCCTCTCTCCTTGACGTTCTTGATGATCTGATAAATGGTTGATGTAGGTGCAATCTTAGTAGCAGCAATATCCTTCCCTGTGAATTCCTTTTTGTGCAAAGCAATGATGGCTGCATGTGTTTCCTTGCAGGTAACCATGGTGAACAG